TCCAGAATCGCCTCCGGAGGCCTGTTTCACTCTCGCTCCTGGGCTCGGCCGGGAACATGTGACTTGTAGGCCCAGCGGTCCTGCAGAGGGAAGCGAGGTCACCACGGGCGCCGTGGGAAAGCGTGCGGGTGTCCAGCTCTCTCAAGGCTCCCGGGGTGCAGAAAAGCTGTTTCCCCAAGCCCGGTGGGGGCTCGCTTCGGTGTGGACTGGAAAAGACAGCCCTACTTTGCTTCCGGTGGAAAAGGGGGGTTTCAAGCGAAATCATTGGGTGTTTCTCACCCTGTATTCGGCTCATTAACTCATCCTTGTTCGTGCGTCTTTGTGGGCAGCAAGAGGAACGTGGAGGGTTGACACGGGGAAGAAGAACTTCGAACACTACGACACACATGCGACCAGGCTTTGCTTAAAAGAACCGTGACGGACACCGTGAGGACCAGCTCTCTGGTGTGTCCCGGGGGCTTGCCACAGGAGGAGGAGAAAAGGAAGAAGGCAGAGGTCCAGGTGTGTGTTTTTGGTGTCCTTGAGTGACACGAAGCGATAGTGTGTCCTTCTCTTGTGGAGAAGCGCAACTAAGGGGGAACGCAGATGGCATATGACATAGGACCAACGGCCTTTCCTGCTTTTTGTTTGTTTTTACCCCTTAAGCAATTCTCCAGTGGACACCAACTGCATGCCCTATAATTCAGTTCAATTCGGATACTGTCTGTAAGAAGTTAAAGCCAGATCCCACTGGTTAAGCGCTCCATCCCAAAAGACTGTCCACACTTCAGATGCCAATTGCAAGTCAGACCTCTGGATATTCTGACTGACCGGCTACAGATTGGGGGTCCCTGTGACCTCTTGCTCAGGTTTGACTGATTTGCGAGAGCAGCTCACAGATCATAGGGATAGAATTACCTTATGTTTAATAAAACACAAACCTACCTTTTAGGACTATCAGATGAAGAAAAAAATGCAAGAATTATCCATGTAAGACTGTGCCAAAGTTGAGCAGCCAGATGAAGAGGCACATGGCACAAAGTAGGGAGGAAGGAGCTTTGCGCATCCATGCCCGTTCTGGGTCGGTGGCTCTTCAAGTACCACCATGAGTTCAGCCACCCAGAGACTCTCCAAACTCTCTAGTTGGGGATTTTTTCATGGGGACTTGATCATGTACACATCAGCAATCATTAACTCAATTGCCAGCCCCTCCCCTTTTCACAGGGGTAGGGGTGGGGCTGAATGTTCCAAGCTTCTGATCATGGCAAGCTTGTGACCAACACCATCCAGGAACCAAGCAAGAGTCACATCACTAGAACAAAAGATGCACCTTTGAATCAGGCAGCTCCAAGGAATTAAGAGCTCCGTGTTAAGAGCTGGCGTCAAAGATCACATGGAACACAAGATGACCCTTGCATACCCATCACTGCAGAAGTTACGAGGGTTTTAGGAACTGTGCCAGAAAATAGGGCAGAAACTAAAAGTATATTTATGATATCACAGTGTCATATATAAGAAGGGAGATCATTTTATTCATCAGAGTCTAGAGACTGTCCTCTGCTATTTTTATAGGAAGGAGACCAGATTGAATTTCTTAGGGTTGCAGGAGGCTGAGATTCACAGGCTGGTAACACAGTCATGTGAGTTGCATGAGTTTCAGAAGAAAG